GCATGTATGAATCGCGTATTTTTTGGTGTAACAAATGTCTAACTGTAGATTGAAATTTTGGACTGATCTTCTGCGGCTTGTAGGAAACATTGAATTCAGGTATCTCCACATCAGAACCTTCTACTGTATCGGGTTTCAACAGACCAGCCTGCAGATTGTAGTGAACATGAATAATCCACCTTTTCTAAAGTCAGGGTAGTTAAAAACCTAAACAACAATTTTTTTTAGATAAAAAAGCTTAAACAGCTATAAGTAGAATCAAATAAAAAATGCTGAAAAATCCAATTACCAGCATGCGAATGAATGTTGTCTTGCCCGTTCCATTCTCACCCAGCATTACTATTATCTGAGAATCAGTAAACTCACCCTCAATCACTTTAAGTTTAAAATTGCCCTGGGTTTTTGTCATGGTTGGATATTTATATCTTGCATAAGTCTCAATTTCTTCAGCAGTTTCCTGTGGGGTCTCAGCAACCTAAAAAGGACAACAAAGAATAAGTGACAAATAAAAGTTACAATCCAAAAAAATTGCCAATGTAAAATCCATAGAATACCTTGAAGGTTAAAGATTCATCCCGAAACCGTAAATTTTCCGTTGGCACAAAGCCAGCCAAGAATATATTAATTCCTTCTCTTACAGAGAAGGGAAGGGTTACAACTCCATATGCACCAGGTTTCCCATACAAACAGCAAATGAAGTCCGAAAGATAATCCAGGACACTAAGATCATGCTCAACAACAATTACATAGCTGAAATACAAAATGCAATCAATATAAGTACCTTCCATTACCAGACACATAAGCAATCTAAGCTTTCAAAGACAAAGTACATGAAAACAAAACCTATTAGGTCTGAGCAAAGATCGAACAACTTGTGCAGCTTTAAGCCTCTGTTTAACGTCAAGATAACTAGAAGGTTCATCAAACATGTATATCTCTGCATTCTGTATGGCAACAACGGCAATTGCAAACCTCTGCAGTTCTCCACCAGATAAATCTCCTACATTTCGATCAATCACCTGGTTCAGTTCAAGATCAGCACAAAGTTCTTCCTTCATCTCCCTCTCATCCTTTTGGTCAAGCACCTGCCCTACATTGCCTTGAACAGCTTTAGGGATGTGATCCACATACTGAGGTTTTATGATGGCCTGTTCAAGAATACGTTAGTCATCAGAAGAACATGAAACAACCATTAGGCAAATTTAGGAAAATAGAATAACCAAATAGATGGTTTCTGAGATTCGTAACATATTATTTCAGAAATATTAAAAGAAAATAATGTAGTATCACCTCTAACACCTGATATTAGGTTTTATGATTTAGAAGCTTTATATGATACCCAAAAAAACCAAGCATGATAATTCAAGCATGTGAAGAAAAGGACAAGAAAAACACTTCCTCATCTGGGAACATGCACAACCAGCAGAAGTTGAAGTTGGAGTAGCTTTTGTGAGTTCCAATACGATATAGTCGTCTCACAAGCTAAGTGTTTTATGTTTGCAGGACATGTTTGCATGCGAGAGTCAGGAGACTGCAATGTAACTCAGGCTCCACAACAGCATATCAAGTATGGTATTTACCACTAAGCCATAAAGGACCAAAATGTCAACTAGAATATTTACCAGTAAGCAGTAACACCACGATCCTGTTTCAAAGGATATTATTTAAGAAGCATCTGTCCAGTTAAATAACCTCCCTAAGACTTTGCTCCCCCCCCCCCCCCCCCCCAAAAAAAAAGGAAAGACAACTTTTCATGAATCAAACATAATCAACTGAATCTTCAAGACAATATGCCAATAAGCATGCATGACGATTTCTGTGATATATACACATGAAAATGTTATAATGCATGTCCAAATCACCTTTAGATTATCTTCCAGGATGCGAGTAAAATAATTCTGAAGCTCTGATCCTCGAAAGTATGTCAAGATTTCTTGCCAATCTGGTGGGTTCTGGAAAGGAAAATCATCAAAGGATGAGCATGCACACGTAAAGAAGCAACTAAAGATGTAATAAGAAAGAACATCACATTAAAACGGCCCAAATTCGGTTTGAGTTTTCCAGCTAAAACTTTAAGGGCAGTAGATTTCCCAATGCCATTGGTTCCAACCAACCCAAGAACTTGGCCAGGCCTTGGGACTGGCAGCCTGAAAAAGGAATATTACAACAATCTCATATAAAAAGAAGGGAAAAGAAAAGGATTCTAGACATGGATTAACAAGAAAACAAATAGAGATGTGAAAAACCTGTGCAACTTAAAAGTATTGGGACCATAACGATGGGTTGTATCTTTATCTAAATCTCTTGGCAGATTGATGATCTGAATTGCTTCAAATGGGCATTTCTGCATGAACAGTAAGGAAGTTTCCGGCATTCTGAAAAGCAAACTTAAGCTGCAAAACACAAATATAAAAACAGAAGCATATCAATCATGACATATACACCTTGACACAGATACCACAACCAATGCACAACTCCTCTGATATGAAGGCAATCTTGGATGCAGGAGTAACCTCAATACACAGTTTCCCTGAAAACATACAGCAGAAGAAATAAGATATGTATATAGTTGAGGCTTTTCTCGCTAGGAATCAAAATGGAAAATTTAGGAAAAATGCAAAGGATCCACATCCATATACATGTGAAATAAAACCAGAAGCCCAAGTCGAATAAGAGAAAAACTTTTCATCTATGCAAACAGCATCGATCTTATTCATCACTAACAAAAATATAATAAACAAAACCCTATATTTATTTCATGAATAAAGCAACTTACATGGAAACAGAACTGAAAAGAAAGAAAACAGTACCGGTTTTGACAACAGGACAGCTCTTCTTGCATTCCTGGCGACATTTCTTGGGCTTACACCTATCTTGGCTCACTATAGCTATACGAGTCAACCGATCAGCCATTTCTCTTTATTCCTCTGAATCAAGGTATATAATATACATGCAAATTTAGAGTGACATAATGATAATCCACCAATATGAAAAACAAGGCATATAACCC